TTTGTGTATTAATTACATCATTAATATTATTTTTTTTATTTATTATATTAAAGATATAGTGTTTCATATTATAAATTTAATACTATTCGATGTAATAAATAATTATTATAAGTAATTGTAATTAAACAATAGGTGAAGGTATACAATGAATTAATATTGTAAATATACATTTTCTATTTTTTTATCATTGTTCTTAATTGTTAATTTAATTATTTATTCATTTTAATTTATCTCTTTTTCAATATTTTATATACTAATAATATAATGTTATATATGTTATGTGTACAATATTTAAATTATTTTTTATTTTCAACTTGGATTATACTATTTCTTAATCATATTATTATATTTTCGTGCATTATTATTATTATTTGAATATATTTATTATATTTAATATTTAATGACTTATAAAATTTTAAATTATTGCCAATATCATTAATTTATTCTTTTTCATTTTTTAATGTTAATTTTTTATTTATCTATTTATTATGATATTATTCTTTTATTTCTTTTATCTTTTCTTTTATTCTCTTCTTTCGTTTTATTATTTCTTCTTTCTCTTTTATTTCTTTCTAAATGATAACTTATTTTATTTTGTTTGAAATTCTGTTATTTATTGTTTATAATTTTTTTCAAATATCTCATAAGTATTGATTTCTATTTCTTTTTATATTTTATCTTTTATTTTCTATTCCTACTTTTTTCGTATTAATTAAATAATGTTATTAATTCTTTCTTGTGTTTTCATTTTGTTATTATTATTCTTTTTATGTCCACTATTTGTTTAATTTTTTGTATGTTTATTGTTATTTAATATATATTGATTTTATTTATTTTTGATATTATTTTATTTTTAATTATTTTTCTTTTATTATTATTATTTTATTCTATTATTTGTTTGATTGTGATGTAATTTAATATTAATAAATGAAGTAAATTCATTTAATGTATTGAGATGAATATTCATTGTCTACTTCATTTATATATCATTCTTTGATTTAGTATAATATATTATGATTTTATCTATTTTCTATTGCTTTTTCTGTACATTCTTTTTATTATTAGTATTCTCTATTTTAATTATTATTATGTATCTGTTATTTATTTCATTTTCAATTTTAATAGATAATATATATCTTTTAATTTGATTATATAATTTCATTGATATATAGATTAACTTCATTAGTTCTAATTAATATGTATTAATATAATTAAATTTATTTGATAATGAAATAAAACCATCATGATTTATTTGATATTTTAATATTTTATTTATATAATTAATTAATACAATATATATTAATTGTTTACTTATTTAATATTATATTATTGGTGTGATTTCATTAAACTTTATCTTACCATTAGTTTCATGTATTGGTGTTGATTTATTCAATAATGTTATGTTCAATTTATCAAATAAATATGATTTGATTATATTGATTCATAAATATTATTTCTAGTTATTTCATTTTTGTTGCTTATGTTCTATTTATTGTTTAAATAATTGTTTATTGTATTTTAATTATTTCTAATATCGTACTATATTTAATTTTATGAATAACTCGTATATTTTCTTCTTTTTTTTAATTATTTTATCATTAATTATTTGTGTTTTTCATAATATTCTTTATTATTTTATTTTCCAGTTTTATTTGATTAATATTGATTTCATCAACTAAGCATATGAACATATTATTACAATGAGTATTTATTAATGAATTTAATTTAATTTATTATCTTTCTTTTTAGTTATTTCATTATATTTATTTGAATATTTATTTCAGTATTTTTTATATTGTTTATTCTTTCATCATTTAATATTATTTATTAAAACTATTATCTATTTCATTATTTTATTGTAAATAAAAGTATTAATATTATCTTTCATTTATATTATTATTGTATTTTAATTCTATTTGTCTATTCTTGTATATCTTA